TGGTGTAGATGTGCTATGAACATTATCCAACTCAGCTTTGATTTCTTTCAGCGTTAAACCTTTCATATGTAGATGTTTTGATCACTGCACGAAACTCGTTTTTTTCCATTTTGCAAAAAATACAAAGGTTGTTCAATTTAATCGTCTACTAGAAATCGTCTACTAGAAATGAAACTATGCGGTGAATTCCGCTCAAAATTTGACAGTAATCAGCTGAAAGATGCTACTTGTCAAAAAGTAGTATGACATGTCACTGCGAGTGCTCTCTGACAGATTTTCTAAGAACTTATTGACTTGACCTCGTATATAAAATTTTTCCATTTATATACAATTATATAAAATAAAATTATATATATTTTTATGTAATTTTATATAATTATATATAAAATAGTTTTTCCTGGGTTTTTTTAAACTATACGGTAGATGTTAATAGTAAAAATATCAAGCTCAATATATTTTGACATAATTTGTTAGAATTACTTTAAAATTGCAAATGTAAAGGCACTATAATATTATTTGAATAATAATATAATATTATTTAAAATAATATTTGAAAATAATTAAAATATTATGATGTACAATATTTCTATTAAGTATAATATTTTATTACTTATTTTTCTTACCATGGCACTTATTGTTACATACTTTTCTGTATATTCTTTTCTATATAGGATTTAAATATTTTGTATATCGAGATCAATCTCTATTAACTCATTGCGCTCTCATTTGATCTATACAAATACTACGTCAAATTTGTGAGATAATCACTTTTTTTATTCTCATTCTCTTGCATACTTTTTAGTGACAACTTCGACGATAATTAACGCGAAGTGCTAATGCACATTTTGAACATGACAACATTTTTAATGCAATTTTTCCGTATTTATGTGCACATGTAGAAGCAATGTGAAAAGGTGTAGAATTGATTCGAAAAAGGTATAAAAAATGTGGGAAAGTGAATAGATAACATAAACGAGATAGGTAGATGACATAAGTAAGTGATAAATACCATAAATAGCCAAATAAATAACGTAGATAGGTGAATAGATAACATTAAAAGGTGGATAGATAACATCGACAGGACTATAGATAATGTAGATATATGAGTAAATATATAAATAGATAATCCTCTAATAGAGGTATATAAGTAAATGATATATAAGTAAATATGTAAATAGATAATCCTGAAAGATAGTCCTAATACGTTATATGTTATAAAAATACATCTATATTGTATTTATATTGCGTTCCATTTATATCAAATATATTATAATATATTAAATACATAATTAATGCAATGGATATGAAATATCCAAGTCAAAATACGTTCTTAATACGTATGTAATATGTAGCAGATATATTGTGCATATTCAAGTCGAAATAGATATATAATACGTATGTAATATAAATGTAGCAGATATATTATTTTTTAATGTATAGATATCAAATACGTAGTTGATACACAGGAGAAAGCATTTCTCATTTACAGAGCATCTCAAAAAAGTTTTTACTTCTAATACCAGAGAAGTAAGTCCGGAAGAAGAAGAAGTTATTTATAAACACCTAAAACTATCTCAACATCAAGCAATTGCAACAATGAGTTTCTCCATAGATGAAATAAGAGTCCCTATTCTTAAGCATCTAAACACAAAAGAAACTCTAGGGCACGACTTAATAACTGATAAGATTTTGAAGGAACTATCCGGAAATATAGTTTACATTTGACCATACTGAGAACAGGCTTCTTTCTTCCGCAATGGAAAGTGACTCAAGTAATTATGGTTCCAAAACCTAATCTAATCCGATAAGAATCCGATTGACGTTAAGTCCTATAGACGAATCAGTTTGCTACCTATTATATCGAAACTCCTCGAAAAGTTACTTCTATAGAAATTAATGTCCGCGATTGAAGATAAACGGCTAATACTCAAGCACCAATTTGGCTTTTGCAGCAAACATGTTACAACCGAACAGATTCACAGAATTGCAAATAAAATTATCTTTGCCTTTGAAGCTAAGAAATATTGCTCTACAGTATTTCTTGACATATCGTAGGCATTTGATAAAAAGAAAATATCGCATGATGGCTTGCTATACAAAATAGAACAATATCTACCAAATAAATTTCACCTACCCTCAGAAGTTATCTTAATAGAAGATACTTTTTCATCAAACAACATGATGCAGAGATCCATGAAATCCAATTAGATGTTTCTCAGGGTGTCCTCGACCTGATTTTACTTGTTATTTAGACTTGTTTATTTGTAGACTTACCAGCTGATATGAACGTTACTATTGCTACCTACGCGGATGATACTGCGGTAATTGCTATGCACAATGACCCTGCCACAGTATTTAAATATCTTCAAAGTAAATTTAAACTCATACAAAACTAGTTCAAATTTTGGCGTATCAAAATCTCATGTTACATTTATCATACACACCGCGACTTATTCTACTGTTTATCTCAATGAAACACTCATTTCCACAAGTTAATAACACTAAGTATCTAAGCATGCACGACAGATAACTTAATCGGAAAAAGTATAAGTAATAATATGACTCAACAAAAATTAAAATAAATAAAAGAGGACTACGAGTCAAACAATAACATTTAATGTTCAAGTAACAAACATATGTTTCGACAACAATCATGTCATTTTCAATGTACAAATAAAAGTTAATTTTGAACAAACGATCATTTAACAGCATGTAATTACAAAAGAAATAGGAATTAACATGATTTGTTGTCTTTTACATGATCCCTCTTATAAATATCTGTCGCCACAGTTGGTATATTATAGTCATTTGGTGAAATTGCAAATAATATTCAAGAGATCTGTTAATGGAACACATTATAACTTAATAAAATTCAATATATAGTCATAAAAAAATCGCATTAACAGTTACTGATATATAATCGCAAAGTATAGGGGAAACCGGAGCTAATAGAGTCATTTTTCAGTTTCGAATTTTTACAGACAAAATTAAGAGACTTATAGAAAAAATGAATTCTATACCATTACTACATACATTTGACTACCTAATAATATTTTAATAATAAGAGGAAACTAATAACTAATATGAAAAAAAATGCATTTATCTAATGCATTCCATCTGATTCAACTAGTTCCGAGATCGGAGTAATTTGACTAAGATTATTAAAATAAAGATTAATGTATTTTAAGCACCTTTGGCTACATATTAATAAAACTTTTATAAAAATATATTTTAACACAAACATTTTCTTCGCAAGACAAAATAATACTTCTTTTTGCAAAATTTGTTCATTTTATGCAAAAACACGTCGAATAAGTCTAATTTTTGAGATTGGACATGAGAGAACTAAACTTATAACATTTACCATTGCGGAAAATCTCTTTAAAGGAATAAAATTTTGAGTAAATACTAATAAGAGTCGTCACTAAATGAGTCATACAGTTCCATGCTATGGTTAGTCTACTATTCCCATCCGTTCATTTTTAAAAAATATTAACAATATACGATAACAAAGACACATAAACAAAAAAAAATCTGTTAGCCTTTATGAAATAAGAACTATACTTACTATCTAAGAAATCAAATATTTCAGTCAATCATACGATTGTAAAACAAAAACTTTGAGAATAAAAATATTTAATTAGGTGTACGATTTTTTAAAATTGTGGCATAACTTCTATCATAGATGTGTTCGCAAGATATTACAGCAGATTTAGCAACAGTCGCTATTACGTGCTCAGACACGTTTACGCGTGTGTCACGTGTTTTGTTTTTAATATAGCCTCGATTATTCTACTTACCCCTATATTCAACCCCGATCTCTATTTTTTTTTTAAATGATTCGAATCAAATTATAAAAAATACATAATTTAAAATAATATAAAATAATATAAAAATACACAATTTAAAATAATATAATTAAGAAAATATAAAATCACAGAAAAAATTAAACTATGTATATAGTTATATAAAAGTTGCAATTAAATTATAATCAATGTTAATATACAAAGGATAATAATAATATATAAGTATATCAATGTAAGACGGTCTCAATCAAATTACCAAATACACAAATTAAGACAAAATGAAAATTAAAATAATTATACCTTAATCTAACAATTGTAAGTCATACAGTTTGCTCCAATGGTGTCATTCGATTAGTATAGTCAATAAAATGTACTGGCTATTAGGCAGAAACTTTCATTAAAAAACAAAATACTGCTATATTAAAATCTATTTGGACTCATGGTATCCAACTTTGGAGCACCGCCTCAAACTGCAACATTGAAATAATGCAGAGATATCAATCAAAGGTCCTTAGGATCATTATCAAAGGGCATTGGTAATGATCCTAAGGACCTTTGATTGATATCTCTGCTGGTATCTTTGTTGATATCTCTAAAGTTTTAGTATGATTTTGTAGTACTTTGTTTTTTTAATGATAGTTGTGAGCTTCTGTCTAATAGCTAGTACATTTTATTTAGTTTAAGTCCCAATTGTTTACGTTTGCTGAATATGTGTTTTTTCAAATTACATTACAAATGATACACTTCACCGTGATCTTAAAATAACTATTAAAGAAACAATCAAGAAATATTGTTTGAGATATTGAGACAGACTAGAAAAGCACCCAAACAATTTTGTTACCAATCTTATGCATAACAAAAGAATAATGCAAAGACTTAAAAAGAAGATATTTACAGATCTACTAACATAATACGGTAAGTACTCCTAAATAGCATATTTGCAAGATTGTGAAATGTTAATGTACTGTACAAGAATATGACATTGATCATATGCCTTCCCTGGTATGTATACATGTATATTAGGACAAATGTATTGCTGAATGTTCTATTGATAGTAACTGTTACAATAATATTGGATATTAAAAAAAAATGTAATGTGCTACTAGAAATTGAAGATTTTTAATTTTCTTGCAGCCATGATCGCATTCATCAATTATCTCTATCATATCTGATTTCTGGCTCGACATTACTTACCGGAATCTGCACAAACGTCCCATTGTTTAGTTGGGGATATGAGTACAATGGTATCACAGGCACGGTGTTATTCTTTAGAAAGATGGGACCCTGGATAGGCGTGACATGCGTGTTTATCGGTATGTCGTGATCTTCGTCATCGTAGTAATCATCGAAATCGTTGTCGTAATCCAATACGGCGTGTATCGAAGTCTTAGTATCAGGACCGATGGAGCTCCCGCCATTGACACTTGTGTAACTTCAAACAAATTTAACTGGGTATTAATAGTGGTGTGTCGTATAAGTACTTACAAACAATTACTGCATGTGTACGTACACTGAGAAAACAGTTTATTTGAAAGAAAAATATATTAAATGTTTCACGAAAATTATTTCTTTGAAGAGTCCTTGAAACATATTTACTAGTTTTAAGATGCTGTATTTGCTTTAATGAAAAAATTAATTTTTTTTTAATGACATATCATGTTGTACATACACAATATCATATTCAGAAGAACGATAGAGATTTAATATACAGTGTAACTTTTTTAACTAATGGTATGATTCTGAATCGTTATTTTTTAGTTATTTTTTTATTTCTTAGTTATTTTTTCCCATTGAGTGTAATGAATGCTGCATTTCTGTCAATCTGGAAGTAACTTGTTCTCAGAAAACTTACAAATTGACGAGATAATTGTTATTAACTATTTTCATGTTATTAAATCGCTAGAGAATAAAGTTTTAGGGCAAGCAGAACTGACAGGTTTTTGTTTATTCTATTTCGCGTATAGTAACAGAGGAAGGAGGAAAAAGATTGAAGAAGAATTCCATCGGAACTAAATATGGATAGACGGAATTCAGAATAAACAGAATACACCAGAATACGGGAACGAAGAGGTTGGCCGGTAATTCCACGCCGAATCAATTCTTGTAGATCAAAATAATGGAGCCCGATTGTAGAAGTCCCCTCGGGAATAGGTTCAGTAGTCCGCGGGAATTGTCTAACGAGTAATTCAAATAAGTCTTTCTTGAATGCAGAAATAAGATCTCGGTGGAGGAGGAATTTCTTCTAGAAACTCCACGCTGTCCGTGGAGTTCGTCGGAGACGAAGTTCTTCTGCGGAAAAACGGGATTGAAATGACGGATGTTAGCGAAGAGGTGTTAGAGAAAATTCGTTCCGTCAGAGTGTCCGAAAACGTGGGTGACGGAGATCGCGAAGGAGGTGAAGGAGAAGGAGGAGGTATCACCTCTAATGCGTCTTGGTTAGCAGATAGAGCAGGCGAAGCCAATGATGGAGACAATGCATCCTCATCGTGGGTGACTTCGATCCCGATAAGCCTCAAGATACTCCTCGTACGCTTAATCCAGGAATCTCCGCGCTTCACAGTAGGCTTCTAAGCCAACCCTTGTAGGGACGGTTTAAGCGTGGCACTATGATTTTGCGTTGGATTAAATTTTGCGAAGAATATACGGATATATAAATTAAGAAGGGACTTACTGCTACTCTACAAGTCTTGGCTTTTAAGAATGACTAAGGATGATCGGAAGTCCGATTTGATTATAGGACTCCAAGGGGAGAGTTAACCCAGCGATTTGGAGACTTCGGTTGAGTCACTTGACAGTAATAAGCAAATAAGATCGCTTGATCGAACAGATTGCGGCTCACCATTAAAATCGGTTAAGCGATTTGGTTGCGGACCTGCAGAGTGTCGACTGGCTAAATAACTTTTGATATTTTATTAGCAGTCCCGAATAATCAGATTTATGAGATATTAGATAAATTCAATTCTTATCATGATAGATTGAGATTTACAGTGGAGCATGGGAATGACAAATCTAAATTTCTTCGATGTTAAATTGATATTAGAAGATAGTTACACAAAATTTGACACAAAAAACCCACTAACTCAGGAAGATATCTAAGCTACAAATCGAATCATCCAATGTAACACAAAAGAGGAGTAATAATTGGTCAGCTTGATAGAGTTCTGTTCCTCTTACATCCGAAATATCAAAAAAAAATATTGAATCCATGATAAATATTCTGTTAATTAATGGTTATCCTCTTGACATAATTTTTTCTACAATTAACAAGAAACTTAAAAAATTGGCAAGTAAAAAGAATTTATTTGAAAATAATATTGTTAATAATGATAATTCCATCGATCATAAGAGAAAAAAATTTTTCACTATATATAAACACAATCTCGGATCAATTTAAGACTATAGCAGAAAAAAACAATTTTATAGTAGCTTATAAACCTATAAACGCTTTAAATCGATTCATAAAATTAGGTAAAGATAGACTAGAAAAAATGGAATAATATTAGATCGAGGAAAAAGTTTCTTCGTATTTAAAAAAAATTTTTCGCAAAAGTTTTTCATTTGTTGCAAAATTTTCGTTACAATTATATTATTCGTCAGAACAAAGTTTTAGCTTTAAGAATCTGTTTTTTAAATTGCGGTGAGATGATTTTTATCGGAGTTACGAGCAATCAAAGTTAAAATGCTCCTTTACTTAATTCGCGAATAACTCAGTAACAAAAAATCATAGGAACATTTTTGAAAAATGATTTTGTAGGAAAAGCTTCGAACTTTTACGATAGGTAGTCGAAAATTTTTGTAAATTTTTTTTGGACACGTGAGAGACCTTCAAAGTGAAAAGAAAAATTTTCATCTTTTTCAGCTCGCAGTTTTTTTTATGTAAAAATTATCAAACTCACAGAAACTGAAAAAATATAGTAATTTTTCGAAAGTAGAGATTTCAAGCTTTAAAACTCTTTTTAAATTGAAATTTCATTTATTTTTGACGAAGATATTGTATATACAATTTTGAATTAAAAAATACGAAGAAACTTTTTCCCCGACCCAATATAATGCGGCATACAAAATAAGCTGTCTGGATTGTGACTTCTCTTATGTTAGTCAAACAAAAAGGAAAGTAAAAACGCGAATCAAAGAACATAAAGCGAATATAAAAAAAACAAGAGATTCTCTGACCGTTTTATTACATCATCAGATCGATTATGGTCACAAAATTAATTGGGATAATGTTCAGGTGTTAGACATAGAACGTGCATGATCGATTTAAATCGAAGATCTGAACTTGCAGAGTGATACGGAAAAATTATCAGAGATATTTTCCTTAGCACAACTCCCTCTACATAATTCCTTTTTACCCTCTCTTTCGATACATGTTAGGTATATATAGTTGTATATCATGATAAGAAACTGGCAAAACATTGTAATGAGTAATTTATTATAACAAATCATCCACTCTCGATATTGTTCCACATAGTTGACTATAACACAGGCACGCACGCACGCACACACGCACATCGTATACATATACGCACTAATATATGAGTTAGAATCGATGTAGCTGTCTTACTTGTAATGTATGAGTTAATAATTTATGCTTTAGATAATATTGTAAACAGTGTAAAAAGTAAATGTACATTTTATTGTTAATCGAAAGCAAGTGTTCGATTTGAATAACTATAATATACATCGTTGTTTTTAACATTAAATATTCTTTATTTTGTGTTATATAAAAATTAAAAATATTTTCTTAATAGGGATAGAGTGGTATAAAGTAAATAAATAATTTAAAAAAAAATTTTTTATTGTAATTCTAAAGTACTCTTGAAACCATTTAATTTTTATTGTGAAAATTCTTTCGTATCTCTTATAGTTTTGACGATTCGTTTCAAAAGAAAACAATTTTACAACCAATTTTCTTCAAAGAGTTTCACCCCCTAAAATTGTAATTCTGCACTAACAAAAAATAATTTTATGTTATATATGGAACTATTATACTTTACTTGTACACAAAGTAAAGTTTCAGAATTTTTTGAATTTTTGAATTGCCTAGTGTTCCTTATTAGTTAACAAATATCAGTGTATAATTTCATTTTCGTTCGATCTCCTCTTGTTAAATATTAATTATAAACAAATAGACATAAATCGCTTTTTCATTTTCATTTTCTAGTTTAGTTAACAAATACCAGTGTATAATTTCTTTTTCATTCGATCTCCTTTTGTTAAATATTAATTATAACCAAATACATATAAATCGGTTTTTCATTATCATTTCTTAGCTTAGTTAACATATATTGTACTATCGTATAATTTCGTTTTCATCTGATCTCCTTTTGTTAAATATTGAGTTATAAACAAATGGAGAACCATATAAATAAATTGCTTTGTCATTATCGTTTCCTAGCTCAATTAACAAATATCAGTGTATGATTTCATTTCCGTCGGATCTTCTCTTGTTAAATATTAATAAACAAACAAATGGAGATTGATATCGAATAAATTGCTGTGTCATTATCATTTCCCAATTTAATTAACAAGTACCAGTATATAATTTCATTTTTATTCGATTTCCTTTTGTTATGTACTAATTTATAAACAAATAGACATCGATGATAAATAAATTACTTTTTCGTTATCATTTCTTAGCTTAGTTAACAATTACCAGTGAATAATTTCCATTTGATTTCCTTTTGTTAAATGTTAATTAGAAACGATATAGAAATCGATGATTTTTTATTATCATTTCCTGATGAGTTATTAACAAAAGTTATTAACAAATACCAGCGTATAATTTCGTTTACCATGCACCGTGCACCGTCAGCACTTGTTGCATTGCATTGCATCAATCATACGTTAACGCACTTTCGCGCCAAAACGTCCATTACATTCTAACTGGACGACTAACGCACTCTCGCACTGAAACGTGCAACAATACATTTGGCTAGTCGACCAAGATCGACGATAATAATGATGATAATAACGATGACATATCATAAATTATATGTGATAAATTTCACATCGGGACTTTGCGTCGCAATATCTCCGCTCATAGGGCACGGAAAAAGAAAAAAAATAAAAGTACTTTTATTACATAATTTGAGTGAACGCCATCGATTGAGCGTATGTAAAATCTAACTGGTTTAGCCATTAATCTAATAATCTTAACTCGCGGTTTCGCGTAAAATAGCCACGATAGTGTCACTGCGCGTATCTTAGCACCGAGACACTACCAGTATCTCCAGATATAATAGAAGTATAATATATTATATATTGATGCTACAGCAAAAAAAAATATAATAAATAATTAATAAAATCAAATGATACAATATTTTAGCGCAATATTTCTTTTATTTCAAACAGTCATAAACTACAGTGATAAACAATATTCGGTAATATATTATAAATGTTATCTGAAAGACAAATAACTAACAATATAGTAGTATAGCAATGGGGATTCGAATCCACGGATACAGCTGGCTGCTACCAGGCAGCGCTAGCGTCGCGGT